GATTGAGTGCTTTTGGACGCGCTGTAGCCGGGCGTTAATGTCGGCCGCACACCACAACAACTCGCGACGCCTTCCTGAGATGCAGAATTGTAGGAGCGGTATGTCTCACGATGTCTTCAACAACTCCACAAACCATGCAGGCCCCAGAGTTGGAGGAGTGCGTCGGAGTGCGTCGCGTGAGGTCGCCGGTAGCGAAAACAGCAAGACTACCATTGCCACACGCATCGCGCAACACTGGAGGAAGACTCGACTTGCCGGGCTTACGCAGGAACGTCAGCCATGATGCAAGAACATGATCCACGTTGGGCGTGATTTGCCCGCCAGCTAGAAGCCCTTGGATCCGCGCACTCCCAGTGGTCCAAAAGACGGCTATTCTTAATGGTGCGACATACTCGTGTGCAGTGAGCTGCAAGTCGCCACCGATACCATTCTTTCTTCAAAGGGTCAGTAGAACTGGTACTGGGTTGGTGGGATGCATGGCCATATAGGTGCACATGCGGCCTTAATCCGTCTTGCAAGTGTGTTTCAGAAGTTGGGCTGCCACTTCGGTCGCCACTCGTGCAGCGACCGACTGTAGTGGTGTACCAGAGGATGCAGGCTCCTTCTAATCTACGTATCGATAATGGGTGCACTTGGATGGTTATGACGCGGATGAAGTGGATGCCTCACCATTTACACTTCCACCGCGGTAAGAGTTGTGCATATTGGTGCCTCGTATAAGATTCAGCACAAATAGAAACGAGCTATCGAATGCTGCGGGTGCAAAGTTATGAAGCCGCCGGCGAGGCCTAAGTGGCTTACTCGTAAAAGCGGCGTGTCTTTCGCGTGACAAGCGTTGGTCAACTCGAACAGGCCCGATGGCATCCGCCAGACCGTCATCCCCCACATTGACTGCAGAGCTTATTGATCGAGAATAGCGTCTACTGCAGGTACAATGCAGGAACAAACGGTAAGTAAGACCCAAAACAACATGCAGGCTTATCGTGACCCTAACAAAAGAATTTCGCGGGATTTTCGTGCTGCAATCGCCCTGCATTATCGTAATGCTCGTTGTTGCATGTGAAGACGACGCAATTTCTAGAAGGCCACATCAGCGGGGCTCCCTTACGACTCAACAGGGTCTTGATGCGATTCAAGTTGAAGAAGGGCTCTTCCGTGGTATGGGCCGTGTCAGTTAGCGTGTGCGGCGTGGTCATGCCATAGCTTCGGCGCCGGGGAACGACGCATGGCTTCCATAGCATTGTCCCACTTGACTCTCTCTCCACTCCGTCAGCCCTGTCATTGGCCGAGACCCACGAAGCCCTGATCTTCGACCTTTCGAGGAAGTTTTCCAGCCTGGCGGGGTTGGGGCTTCCATCCCGCTCGCCCATGGTTTGACTATCGCGATGGTGTACTTTGACTCGCTAGCACGTCTATCGGAAGTACAGCCATGTGTGCCGGCTTGACCAACGACGAAAGCTAGTACACCGTGCCACTCAGGTTCCTGCGTTTGTTCCGTCATGCCGCGGGTCAATGTTACTTTTACGCGTTAGAAACGAAGTGTGGCTTCCGAGGCCCTAGATGGCCTGACTACACCGCGTAAGTATTTGCAAGGTGTTTCTGTTGGTATGATGCGCACGAGGAGCCACCCTGAAGATTTGACAAATCTGACGTACCGTCACCAAGGCACTGATACCGGGAAGGCCATCTTCTGGAACTGTGAAACCTCGTCAAGAGGCTGCCATTGCCGAAGAGGCAATGACAACGGCTATGTCACCCCAATGAGGCAGCTGGCAGATCGCTGAGCCCACCGCGTCGGGGTCTCAAGCACGGTCAGACAGTCTTCTAACGAAATGCGTGTTATGCTCAAGCAGGGTCAAGCTCGTCTGTAATCTCCCGAGAGCCCGCACAACTGGTCCCTGACCATGTGGCTTCTGGAATACTTCCCCACACTGATTCTCGGTGCTTGCTGCTGAATGCATGTGGATATGCTATGCGGTGTGAAGGTCCAGCCAGGGCGACCCTTCCTGCAAGACACCGCCTTGACATTGTTGAGGCCAGTGTCTCTTGCGAAAGACATCGGTTGCAGATTTGTCTCGTCTAGTCGAGACGGCAAGTGGGAACTCACGATATTCCGCGCTCTGGAGCCGTCATGGCTGTTGCCGAAGCTGCTGGCCTGAGAGCAGGCGGTCGAGGTTGCATCGCAGCGGGCTGGATCTCAACATGAGCCCGGTACACGTGGGATTCTATCGACAATGTCGGCATACGATAAGGCCGCGGTGAAACACGCGTGAATGTGGTTAGCATCAAGCCCCGGGAGGATAAGACCCGCGTTATTCAATGCTCTTAAGTTTCGACAGCTTCCATCCATCGCAAATCACTCGGCACGTCGCGCCTTGGCCGGTTATCGAAATCTCTGCAGACCCTCCATTGGTCACGACACGAGGTATCGACAGGCGATATCTGACCAACTCGGCGAACCCAAGACCACAAGTGCTCATGCCACCAGGGTCTTGCAACGCTGCGGGACAAACCGACCTTGGACGGCTAGTGACTGTGCTCCCCAACGTGTGGAAAGTCGCCGATTGAGCGCAGATCTTGGGCATACGAGCGCGTTGGTACGAAGATCGCAATTCAAAGTGACGCGCGTGAAGATGGAAATGCTCATTGTTCTCATCGACCACAAGATGGGGCGTGGTAGAGCAAGTAATTGTCATGAATGACTGAAACTGACGTAGCCTATTGACGTAAAGTTTGTCCCAGACCGGCAAATTGAGAGTCGTGATAACTTTGAGGATGCTGCCAGCCGAAGTGGCGTAGCGGCTGCAAGCAACCTGGTATTCACCGATTCTGTTCACTACTACTCGACGTCGTTATCAGCCGCGCCATACGGGCCGAATGACTCTGCTCACATGTACAGCCAAAAAGTGAGCGAAGCCGCCGTAGAGGAAAGGAAGTCCGAGTCGAGAACGCGACATCGAGAGCTTGAAGCACGCACGTCGCAGTCCAGCGTCCGACCGAACATGTCCTGCTACGCTCAGACGCCGAAAGTACCTCCATGGCCGTTCCACGCATATGCCGAGGCGCCGGCTACCGCATGAATTCAAGTGCAAAGACACTTTGTTTCCTGGCATCCTCAGGCAAAAAGCCATCTTCTGGAAACACACAAATTTCCAAACCGCATGAACCAAGATGACAAGAATAGGACGTTCCCTGCATCCTCGTGGCCGCACCCCGTCCATCTCATACAACATACTCGCTGAAACGCGCGAAATCTCAACGGCGAATGATCTGAGGCAGCGACAGCGGATGTCCCCAAGTCGCCATACGTCCCTGGCACTGTGCCCGTCTCACAGGCCTGCGCGTGCTTTTCAAATCTGCGAAACACACAGGTGTCATCCAACGGTCGCGTCCAGCTTCCGCGACAAAGCCGCGACGCCGCAACAACCGCGCAGTAGTTCCGAACAGGAACATGTAACAGGCCTCAGAAGGTGGTGATGTTTGTAATCAGTCGCAGCCTAGGCCACGTATTACTCTTCCTATCAAATGTAAAATATCATCGCTGGCCATGAGGAAAAGAAGTCGCTCGACGGCGACGCGAAAAGGTTTTTTGAGGTTCTCTGATCCGCCGAAGCTTAGCCGACATCACGTGCGCGTCGGAGAAACGACAGCGCCGGCGCGCTAGTGAGGCAGCCATAAAAACTTCGCACCTCTGCGTACTGCTTCTGTTCTCTATGCGGCGCAGGACGATAGTCCGTTTCCCCGGTTGCTTGAGGGTCATACACCATGGCCCTTCCAGTGTCGTCGACCTGCCAGAGAGAACATATTGCACAATCTATCATATACACTTTGAGTGGGCGCCTGTTTCTAGTGGCGCCTTCTCTGGAAAAAGGTAGAACATCTTTTCGTGACGCGCAGCATTTGCTGCAGCAGTACGCTCTATCGACCTTGGGTCTTCCGAGCGACTGTTCGAAATGCAGATGTGCTGTTTGCGCATTTGGTGATCAATATCTTATGTTGCCTTGAGCACACATATTTCACCTTCCCCAAGCTGGGTTAGCGCTATACCTACAGCAGTGAATATCTCGGTGTCAAAGTTCCCACAAGTGAGCGGTGCCGTTTGTTGCACTGCGACATATATGCCAAGTGGTGTGAGTTGTTGGAGTCATGTCTGCAGATGTTCCGCAGTTTGGTGAGCGGAATCTGAGGATATATCATTTTGACGACGGTGTGGCACCTGTGGTAGGACACGCGACGCCCGCTTTGATCTAAACAATACTTCTTAATCTCATCAGTATTGCTGTCAAGTGCTGCTATCATTACGCTTCGATGAGTGTGAGTAATGACCATAAAGTGCCAATATTGCCTAGGTGATGAAATATCTGTGTATATTCAGATATGCAAGCAACAAGAAAATTAAAGATTGTGAACAACCAAAGACCGCGAAAGTATCCAAATCTACTCAAATCTCACGTGGGTGAACGGGGAAGCAGACTCGAGGTTGATTTCGCTCCCTTTTAGATTGTTGACAGACTATGGCTTATATGTTAATTGGAGCTTTACTTGACCTACCTTATCTTCCCTTACTCGTAATTTTTTTTAATATTATGCCAGCGTTCCACACAACAAAAAAAGCCTTCTCAAGTAGACGTCTTCTTACAACAGCGCAAGAACAAGAATCTGGAAAGACGTCGAGTGGGTAAAGATGTTGTTGCTCGTCGCAGCTATAACTACGTATTGACGAGCATGGCTAATTTCCTTTAGAATATCATCACGCACACAACGCACAAAATATTCCACTCGTTACCACAGTAACATTATTTAATGAATTTGAGACGCGAAAGAACATGCAACAGAACAGAGAAAGCTATGTTGATTTAATCTGACTGGCCAGAGAGAAAACCTGATAAAAGCTTCGATCTCATTCATACATTAAAAAAAACCTGACGGATGGTTTCGACGCAACCATAGACACACATCTATATCGTACAAGGAACATACATCTCTCCAATGTCTTTCATCTAGCCAGCTTCTGTCTGTGTCTGCGTCTGAGTAGCAGGCTGTTGCGTACCCAGCAGCCTTTGCAGATCACCCAGTCCAGCACCAGCCCTCTTCTTCCTCTGCTTTCCACCCTCCTTCTCTGCAAACGCCAAACCCATCAACTTTCTCTTCTCTTCTTGAATACCCAATACACGCTCCTCCACACTTCCCTCAACCACTAATCGGAATACTGTCGTCTCGCGCTTCTGCCCCAGCCGATGCACGCGATCTACAGCTTGATCTTCGATGGCAGGCGCCCACCATGAATCTGCCATGATGACTTGGTTTGCGGCGACGAGATTAAGACCGACGCTGCATACGGCGAGCGAGGCGAGCATGATGGTTGTGGCTGGGTCGGAGTCTAGGGCTTCGAGGGCGACGTCACGTTGTGTTGCGGACATGGAGCCATCTATGCGGACGTACTTTAGACCATAGAGTGTGAGGTGTGGTTCTAGGATATCGAGAAAAGAAGTCCATTGGCTGAAGATGATTGTCTTGTTTGTCGGGTCGTTGGCTGATGCCCGAAGTATGTCGAGGAGGGCCTCGACTTTTGTGCTAGTGTTCTTCTCTAGAGATTCCTTATCTGCAATCTGGTCTTGTGTCAAAGGCGCTGGAGCGGCGCCAGATTTTTCCTTTGCAGGCTTGACAGTTGTGGTTGCAAGAGACTCAAGCTCGGCACGGCACATGGGGCACTTGTGTTGGGTTTCGATAACGCGTTCTACACAGGGCGTACAGAAGATGTGGGCGCATTTGGTTATGACCGGCTCCTTGTAAACGTCCAAACAGATCGGACAGTCTTCTTGTGATTCAATGGAAAGTCGAAGCATCTTCTGGAGCGCCGCTTTGTTCTCTTCTGTCAAATCGACAACGCCTTCTGCTTCAAGCTGCTTCATGATGGAGTCGAGACGCTCTTCACCCACCAGTTGCCAGTGGTTGCAAACTTGTCGCATTCGAAGCAACACTTCCAGGAGATGGCGATAAGTATCTCCGGCGTTTTTCTTCCCGATGTTGTGCTTATAAATGTCCAGCGTACCCTTGGCCTGAGCCTCCAAGGCATCATACTTCTCCTGTTCGTGTGGATGCAGCTTGATCTTGTGTACGTACTCAGAGAGCTCAGGTAGCCGTAGGTCGATGAACGACATCTCCTTCTTGCGACGTAGACAGACACCCGACATCAGCTGCTGGAGTACCTTGTGGCCCTGGACATCGCCTTGCATGACAGGGCGCATAATGGCACTGTGGAAGATTTCGAAAGAGTCGAGGCCACCCGAAAGACGCAAGAAACGAACTTGGGAGTAGAGATCTTTGAAATTGTTGATAATCGGCGTGCCGGTAAGTGTCCATCGAGATTGCGCCATCAGATTTGTAATGGCGATAGTCTTCTTCGCTTTCGGGTTCCTTATGCCATGACCCTCATCCAATATGACCCGACGCCACTTGATAGAGAAAGGTCCGGAACGCCGTGGGAGAGTAGGCTTCGTTTGCGAGTACCAATCAGAAGAGACAGATTCGTATGTGCTAATTACGACATCGTAGTTCTCGATTGATTTGGGTGTGATGGGTTCCTTTCTCTGACCATGCCAGAACATGACACGAAGAGCGTGTTCAGGCTTGACATGCTTCTTCATCTGCGTGCTCCAGTTGCTCATTACTGATACGGGGGCAAGGATCAGCGTGGCGCCTGAGGAATCCTTTGCACGAAGATTAAGTGCGCGGTCTGCCATGATAAGGGAGATGGTCTGGATAGTCTTGCCCAAGCCCATATCGTCGGCCAGTATACCCCCGGAAGCTAGTGCCGGATTCTGGATCGAGAAGCTTGTTGCGATATTTGTGAACGCATTTGGTATATGAGTGTGTCGTCGCCAAAGCTGGACTACGTCTTTGGTGCCTGAGGCTGGGAGCTTGGGGCTTTCTTTATCGAGCATCCACTGCAGACCTTGCAACTGGAAGGAGTGTAGCTCAGTAAGAAGAGCGTCGGGTTGGGGCGCTTGTGGCATTTTTGCCTGTTGGTGGTTAGTGAGTGGGCACAGAGGTTGCATAAGCACACTGCTTACCAGGTCTTCTTCTTTGATACCATACTCCTCAACCATCTCTTCGACATTCCTAGGGTTGAAGCGCACACTATCACCGAGGATATCCTCCATGCTAGGCCCTGGCCCGAGGCCGGAACCCTGCGAAGAACCAGCAGCATATTCGGCCATGCTGTTTTGCATGGCTTGGTCGGCACCAATGTCCACAACAGTAGCACCCTTCTTTTTGGCTTGTTTGGCGGCTTGCTTAGCTATTCGCTCGCGTTCCTTCGCGGCCGCAGCCTCCTTACGCTTTCGATCTGAAGCATGTCCAATAGGGAGTTTGTCACTTCGCATTCGTGCCATAAGAGTCTGCTGCACATCTGGATCATTGGTTCCGTACAGCTTAAGCTCGACCGGGCAGTCGTAGAAGCCCTTCTCCCCTGTAAGTTGCGCCTCAATGAGCAGACTGCGTTCGTCCATGTATCTGGCTAACTTGGCTGCGAGACCTCGTGGAAGGTGCCCAATCTGTTCGCCCTGCACATTGCTTACTTTGATCGCATTGCTGTCGTACTCGTTATGGGGTTCTCGCCTTAGTACCACCGTCTCACCGTTTGTTGCATATCCGTTGTAGTATCGCACACCCACAATCTTCCCATGCATTGCTCCGTATAGTACGAATTCGTATTGTTGCTGATTGTAGGCTTGTGTAGCATCCGGGACTTCCTGGGAGGCGTCGTCTTCTTCGTCTTCGTCTTCGTCTTCGTCTATGGAGATGGCTTCAGCTTGCGACGATCCAGATGTAGTGCGCTGCGCTTGGTTGAATGATGTACGCGCTTGTTTGCGTGCGCGGCGCGGGCTTGAAGAATGGGCATGAGAGTGTGCGTATCCTTGCGATGATGACGGGTACTGCGACGAACGACCGAAGGATTGCGACGAGTACGAGGGCGCGTCGTCGTCATCCCCTGTAAGATCAATGGCCTCATAGGCCGTTCGTTTGGGAGGCATTGCGCGTTGGGTTGGTAGACGTGAACGAATGCGGGGAGGCTTTATGACGTCTGTCGCAAGATGGTGTTCGCGAAACTTCGCGACCGTTGAACGGCTGGGGAGGAGACGATAAGGATCAGGATAAGGGCCCTGGTTCACGCTAGGGCGCGGAAGCATGTGACAGGGATTATCAGGAACGCTCCGATCATGGTTTCAAGAGGGGAAATGAGGAGATGCCAATGGCGATCCGCTATCCAAGGACGCGTCTAATATATATGACAGAGTCGAATGATTTGTCGCTGATGCCTGAGACGTGCGCGTGCTTAGCAAACAAACTGACACATCGTTTCTGGTACGGTAATACGCATTTTGCTCGATCTTGCATCGTACATTCATGCTCCTAAAGTTATACACCATTAAACAGCGCTTCATTCTCCCACCAACCTTCGTTGTACTCTTCTGATCTAGCTTGAGATTACGCACGCGATGGGAATGCACTTTCGCCCCATGGGTCGCAGTCGACACTGCCATCCCGCATCAGTCCATGTCTCATCAGAATTGAACAAACAGCGGCGGAAACAAGAAGAGGATGAACTGCACAATTGGCGGAATAGAGCCCAGAATGCCCCTGCACAGCTTGGCCATCCGCACGCTGCCCGTCTCCTTCTCCGCTTCGTAGTATCCGCAGACGATGCTTCCGATGAGCCAAAGTAGCAGCAAGGTCAGCATGATGGCGTACCAGGCGGCGTGCAGATGGTACGGATTGGTGCCCCAGGACTCCCAAAGGCTACGGAAGTTGTAGTAGATGATGCTCCGAACTGAGACGCCGTCGTATTGTAGTCTGTAGATCTTCTTCCATTTTACCCACTGTACAAAGAATCGAGTCAGCCATGTTGCTGTGGATGAACGGACCAAACAATTTGTTGCACAGTCGAATAGCAAGCGAAGAAGAAGCCAGAGCGATGGGCCGAGAGGAGCCCGACATACTCTGCCCCTGGCCTTTTCCTCTGCCAGCGCAAGTTCGTACGCTTCCGCAGCCTCCGCCTCTTCCTTTTCGCGGGCTTCAGCGAGAAAGTCTTCGATGTCGAGGATGAGGTATTTGGCGATGACGTCACGCTGTTTCTTGATCAGGGCGTCTTTGGCCTTTATCTCATCGGAGAGGGGCATTGTGATGTTACTGAGCGTATAGCACCTTGCGTGTGCTATAGTGAAGGCTGCTGTGGCGTGGTGGGGTTGTAAGACAAGGAGGAAGCGCGGCAGATGACCCCATTCTCTCTGGATCTCCTTTCGCTGGCCGCTTATCTGCTATCTTTCAGTGGAAGAAAGTGCGGACACCGAATGCTGAAGTCATGCTTGGGGAAGGAAGGTACGTCTCGGGTCGCCTCTGATACAGAAGCTGCCATGTCGCCATGTCCAGGTGAGAGCTCCCATTATCGAACCCAAACACTTGATTCGCCTCAAGTAGCGTTACAGGTTGAAAGCATAGCCTCAAGCCACAGCTAGATCCAAGTGTCTTGGTATTGTTTGTGGCATATCGGTCACTGCTAAGTCTTTCGGAAGGGGTACCCTTATTCCCAGCGAACATTGGTGACACGAAACGCCTTGGGCGTGTCGTCACACGACCAGAGGGCTGAGTGAATTGGCAGAGTTCAGGTGTGTTTAATGCCTGTGAAAATGTCTTGCTATTGTTCTGTCCAAGTTGATGAAAAGAGCGAGGTGGCCGTGGTTTTCTGCCAAGCAGCGGACATAAGCTCAAGTGCACCCCCACTATGGCCTTCAACTTCATTCGCGCCTGGCTCAAGGTCATCCTCCTGTCGCCATATCGTCTACTGCGCGCATTGCTAGCCACGACCGCAAATTCTGTTAACCCCAAGGCAAGAGGCATAAAGGGAAAGATGCCAAAATACTATCACGACGACGAGGCGTGGGCGGACATTGTGCCACTTCCACAGGATGACGGCGGCCTGCATCCACTCGCTGCCATCGCGTACTCGGAAGAATACAGCGAGGCCATGGGCTACCTGCGCGCCGTCATGGCGAAGAACGAGTTCAGCGAGAGAGTCCTTGGCCTTACTGAGCACATCATCAGCATGAACCCAGCACACTACACTGTCTGGTAAGTCCGACACTCGGTCGAGTCGCGGAGTTTCGGAGGAGACGCTGGTGTTCAGTCGCGCGAGGAGCTCTCCAACATCTGCACTACTAACACCCCGCAGGCTCTACCGCGCCAAAACCATCTCGGAGATCGGGCGATCACTGAAAGACGAAATCGCATGGCTCAACCCGACCGCACTCAAGCACCTCAAGAACTACCAGATCTGGCACCACCGCCATACCATCATCGACGAGCTCGGCTCATGCGAGGGCGAACCAGAATTCATAAACTCTATGCTGGAGCTTGACTCCAAGAACTACCATGTGTGGAGCTACAGGCAATGGTTGGTCAAGCGCTTCGATCTGTTTGACAAGCCTGAGGAGCTAGAGTGGACACACAGCATGATCGAGGAGGATGTGCGCAACAACTCTGCCTGGAATCATCGCTACTACCTAGTTGTTGGCGGCCGCGAGGGAAAGCCGAGTGCCGATCTTGTGGAACGGGAGATAGAGTATGTTTCTGTTGTCCCTATAAGCTGCTCGACTATACTAAGCCTACCAGGTACACCAAAGCAGCCATCCGGAAAGCTCCTCAGAACCAGAGCACATGGAACTACATCTTGGGCATCATTCGCGCAGCGGAACTTCCCAAGTCGACTCTCAAGGACTTTGCGGGTGAATTCGCTGATGTGCGGAAGCCAGACGATGTCCACTCGAGCCACGCCCTCGATCTTCTAGCGGACATATATGCGGAAGAAGAAGATAGCAAAGAGAATGCGGAGAAAGCCCTGGAGCTTTTGGCCACCAAGTACGACCCGATCCGCGCAAACTACTGGAACTTCAGGAAAGGCCTCCTCGATCACCCGAAGGTTGCTGCTTAAATCCCAGTGTTAGCGTAAACTTGAAAAGCATCACAGAGATACCCAATTAGCGTTTTTAATACCGTTTGCGGATCCGCGTCATGTGTTCGGACGTCCGCATGCAAACTTCATTCTGGGGAAGCCCTGTCTGAAATGACGATAGCTATCGAAGGAAAGCTGGATAGTGAAGGGAGCATGGACGCGTCTTCCACTGAAATGCGAGAGTTTTCCTTTCCGTCGGGGATCCCTCGCGCCAATTCCGCGACCCCATCGTGTCATCCTAACATCAGCCTCCCAGCCAACCCCGTCTTCACTGTTTCGCCGAGTTGTTATCGGTTCCGAGCCTTCTGGACTGACCACCCGCATGGACAGCTGATGCGCGTCCTCTGATAGGCAAGATGGCGCCAAGTCCACCACTGTTTCGAGGCGGCAAACCCAGGCAGAAAATAGTCCCGCCGTTGATAACCGCTTCTGGAAATCCAAACCCTGGCCCAAGCTGCTGAGTACCGGTCTCATGCTTGTGTCATTTTGCAGTGGCAGCGTGGTCGCTTGTTCCTTATCGAGTATCTATAGGGTAATTTATGCACTTTATAGGGTAATCGATACAACATATCGTAGATTCGGTGTGCCACCATGCTTCCTTACCCCTCTGGCCCATCGACATGGACACTAGGGTTGCGGGTGCTTGCGGAGCGATAAGAAATCATCGTAAAGATAAAGGAAAGGCTCTGGTGCCCTCGAATTCAGATCAACAAAGAGTTTCTGAACGTCAAACACCGAGCTTCTTGTCTACCTATTCCTGAGTCTACGCTTGCTTCTAATACCTTTCTGTGATACCCCATTCTGTTTCCATACTTCGTCATGGCTGTTAAGGAGTGCTACGTCAACGAGGAGCCCCAGCAAAGCCCTTGGGTGCAAACTCCGTTGAGAGAGTCGTACGCATTATCAGAAGCAGCAGGATGGTACGGTCACACTTCCTCTTCACCCGTTACCCCTCCACCCCTCCATGGCATATCATGTCATCAACTTTGAAGAAAAGGGAATTCTAAATCGTAGAAGCAGAATCTTCCTCAAGCTGGAGAATCTCCAACCCTCTGGATCATTCAAGTCAAGGTAAGCATTCGCCGATTGCAGACACTACCTAACACAAGTGCTAACACCTGGACAGAGGCATTGGCAACTACATCCTCCGCCGTCTCGAAGAACTCCCACAAGGCTCGCGCCCTCACATCTTCGCATCCAGCGGCGGCAATGCAGGGCTCGCTGCTGTTCACTCGGCTCGTGCTCTCAACTTGCCTTGCACTGTTGTCGTACCAACCTCCACAGCACCATTGATGGTAGCCAAGCTACGAGCAGCAGGTGCATATGAAGTCATTCAGTATGGTGCAGCTTGGAAAGATGCAGATGCATACCTTAAGGAGCACATCATACCCTACGTACGGAACCCTCTATATCCCAGACAAGGCGAGAGGCTGACACAATCTGCAGGCACAGACAGAAACCATCTACTGCCCACCCTTTGATCACCCAGATATCTGGCAAGGAAACAGTACCTGCATGGACGAGATCGCCGCTCAGCTTGGCGAGCCCGACGTGTTGATCTGCTCTGTCGGCGGCGGTGGTTTGATCAACGGTATCTGTCAATCCATGGACAACCATCAAATGAGCAAGACAACCATTCTCGCCTTGGAGACCGCTGGTGCCGAGAGCTTGAATGCAGCACTTCAAGCCAAGGAAGTTATCACATTGCCCAAGATCACATCCCAAGCAACAAGTCTAGGCATTGCCCGTGTGACAGACGCCACATACAAATATGCCCAGCGAGGCAACGTCCGAAGCGTAGTCCTACCTGACGCAGAAGCGGCTATGGGCTGCTGGCGTCTGGCAGACGACGAACGTATCATGGTCGAGCTCGCCTGCGGCATCAATGTTGCTCTTTGCTACGACGGCCGGCTCGAGAAAGCACTTGGTCGCCCCGTTCGACCAGAAGACAAAGTTGTGATTGTGCTTTGCGGAGGAAGCAATGTCACGAGTAAGATGTTGTGCGACTGGAGGAACGAGTACGCGTACATCGAGGAAGAGACTGAAGCAAGGAGGAGGAAGAGCGATTCTGCGCTTGGCAGTGAGACTCAGAGTGAGACTGGCAGTGTGAAGGATATGGATATGGGAAATGTACCCAGTGAGTACAGCAAGCCTATTGTGATCGAGGGTATTGAGGTTGAGTGTGTGGAGTGTTCCGGCTAGGAGTTACGTCCTCTCGTTTCTCTTCTCTTCTTACGAATTTCCTTTATAGATCACGTTATATATGTAAGCGCTTTCATGACGGCGTATAATGACAAAACCTTTCTGTTTTATTCTACCTGTCTTCAATCGTCACATTTTAGCTCAAGAGTTGTCCAAATGGGTGACGCATCCCCTCGTGACTTATGCGTGCCGTCCTTGCCGTTTAAGCATCCCTCCGGAAATTTCCCCACTATTCCGATGTACACCTAACGTCAGTCTGCAAGACCAAAGGCAAAACTGCTGAAATCTCAGAGACCGCGGTCTGCCACTATCAAAATTAACGTATCCCGCCCTTTCCCCCAAGCAGCAACATACCACTAGCAGAAAAGTTCAGGGAGATGAACATCTAGAACAATGACATCTCGTACGTGGGCCCTCAAAAATACCTCTAAGGAATGTCAGGAGGATATCTAACAAACAGCAAGACTATAGTTCCACAAAGGAAGGCGGCAGAAACACATATCCCCTCCCAGACAGCCTCAATTACGATGACGTCCTCGAGATTCTGCACAATCATTCTGTGCTGTCACAAATATTCTGGCCACATTCATCCGCCAGAGTCCGTATACAGCCAGGTTCTGTGTCAAGTATGTCGAACTTCCTTATTGAGAAAGATCGGTCGGAGTTCAAAGCGTCCTTGTGTAGCCAGCCAGACGGGGTAACGTGCACCGAAGAACTACCGCTAGGGCTCAAGGTAACAACAAAGTATGTGATAGCTGGGTGCGATCAAATTGCAAGAGAGCAGAGCGTGCATGATGAAAAGGGCGGGGCTGTGTCGACTTCAGATTTGCTCAGGTTGCCCATCACTCCGCTGGATCATCAACTCTATCTGGTTGAGCAGAGATTCGCAACTGCTTTCAAGCTGCTTACTCCGTGGATCCAAATGAAGCAAGGCACTCTTCCTAAGACGGAGAATCTAATGGAGGTGCTGAAAAAGTTGGGTGAATCTCAGAAAGATCTCATTTCTGCATTATCGGACTTGAACGGCATTGCAACATATGTGGCTCCACATACCTCGTATGAGAAGGCTAATGATGGATAGAAAGTGAGTATCCCAATTTGTGGCAGTACCAAAGCTTACAGGGTGTGGCAGACTTGGATGTCCAACAGGAGATGGTTGTTAGGCAGCAAAGCTGGGCTCGAATTCTTCGTTACCGCTGCTGACGTGAAAGACCTTAGCGAACTTTGTGAAATGCATGTCAATGTCACTTATAAAGCCAAAGGCAACCGGTTACATAATCGAACAAGAGTAGACTAACAAGCCAACAACGGCTGCGTATGCTTTGTTCTATTGTCTCGTACGCCCTAAACAAGAACTTTGTAAGCGGTAGCATTATTCTGTCCCCTAACGCTTTGTCTCACATGCACGTAACGTTCGACTCGACCTTGACTCTTAACTTGGTTCAAAATCTTCTATGCTATTGAGGTTTATCTGGGTGGACTCTCTCGTCGTTCATTCAGTCCCAGTCACTAATCTCACGTATCTGCTTCTCACCTCATTACCAATTGCTCTAGCATCGAACAAAAAGGCGAGTCTATCCACGAAATACCGAAAGCAGGAGCATACCTGATAGGACGATTCATTTTGCCATGGCTAACCCCCGGACAGTCATTAATCCCTTTACCAAGAATGAACACCGCATGAGGCGTAACACTAAAAGCACTAAATGGATCACAGCTGGCCCTTCAACAACAGCTGCAAGAAACATTGATGTTGAAAATCAAACCTCGAAACGCATTTTTCGAGAAATTATCTCGCCGAGCAGCGTCGAAGATACTTCTGTTAGGCGGCACGAGCCGCTGTCAATAATAAATGATTTCAAAACAACGCCACTAGAGTCTACTGCAGTTCGTACTAATGTCTCAAATCGGGACACTCCGTTATCAACACTCAAACTCATTGACTTCTCGATGCTCGAGCGAACTATGAAGGAACCGGAAGTGAATTTACCTCCTCATTGCCCAGCTTCAATAGACGACCATAACTCAAGCACCAACAGTTCATGGCAGAAACAGGATTTACACCAGTCGTATGTTACGGGTTCGGCTACATGCTCGAAGCACGTACACGCTCAGCCGCAAGCTACCGAACATTCAACGCCGTTGTTCCGCGCCGCTAAGGAGATCTACCAAGCAGGTCCTAAGGGCGAGGGGCAGAAAGTGTGGGAAGCGTATCAGCAGGCACGAAATCATAGACGAGCTAACGATGAACCATCTCAGAACATGTCATCTGAACCAACGACTAGGAAAATAAATACAGCATGCCTACCTCTTCCATCATCAACAAGCCCCAATGAAGCACTCTTCCCACCACTACGACCACGAACACCACAAAATCAAAGCGGACGCAAAGAAAAGGAATCTGGGAGTCCGGATCTGAGAAGAGACTCCGGCTTCTCCAGCTCGAGCTATGACGTGCCTGTAGCTATTCATAAGCATGTACAACGCATTGTCGATTTGAACAAACCTCTTCCTCCTGTTCCACCGATACAAGCGCCTCCAAAGGTACGAAATCCCAAGGCCAGAACATCACGAGATGCTCAACAGTGCACTGAGAAAGAGACGGCCCATACGTGGTGGAAGCATTCGCCTTCTAAGGCACCTCAAACCTTGAAGTCCAAGATCTCTCATCCTGGTCCACTAATGATATTGGGCGAAGGTATCGCAGTCAATGTCGCTGCAGAGTGCGGTGGAGTTGGCGGACCTGCAGCTGCCGTGTCACTTCCCGTTACGCGCAC